CCCTCCTCCTGAGGACCGGGCCCACCCCCACAGGGAGGGGCTCCTAGCTCTATGGACCCCCCCCAACCCCGCCCCCACAGGGAGGGGCTCCTAGCTCTACTCGGACCCCCCCCAACCCCGCCCCCAAGGGGAGGGGATCCTAGGTCTATCGGACCCCCCCAAGGGGAGGGGCTCCTAGCTCTATGGAAACTCCCCTTCCCTGCTTCCCCTCCCCCCTAGGGTACCCAGCTTTGTTGGAGGGAAATAAAGGGACAACCCCATAATAATAGGGGCTGGCCCTGTATTTTAAGTGACATTTTAGGGAAACAGCCTTTCCCTTAGCATGTCAGGGATTTTTCTCTCAAGTAGACAATGCAATTATCATAAACTTCAGTTTAATATTTAAAATGATCAACGCACATCCCTTAAAATAGGGGACAGGTGGTCACCCTAAATGGAGAGGAGGTTCCTAGTACTATGCCATCCCCCAATCCCCTGTCCTCCCCGTCAGGGCCTGGACCTCACAGGGATAGCGCTTCTAGCACTGTGAACCCTCTGTTTTCTCCCCCCTGCTCCAGTTGCCCCCCATTCTGCCTGGGGCCGGCCAGCCCATCCCCCACTACCAACCCTCATCATCCTTGCCTAGGCTGTGAGGGAGCATTGTTAAGGCAGGTGATGGCCAATGCTACCGTAGTGGTGCAGACATACCGTTAATTTTAAAATGCAGCTGTTCTGTTCCTTTCCCAGCATGTGGGAGGGGTGAGATCTTCCTTTTGATAGTCACTGATAGGCACCTTGTAACTAGCAACTGAGAACTGTTGTTTAACAAAGGTTGGAAACGTAAGAGTCCACGCAGAGCTTAGCTGGAAGGCAGCACACTCCGTATAGAACAGTGTCTGTCCTCGGGTGGGACGGGACTTGTGGGGAGGAGAGTCAGAAGGCATTGAAAATGTTATTACGATCTAAAGCAAAGAAAATTCTGCTGCCCCAGCTCATTCTAATTTCAAGCACCCACCTCTACCTCTCAAAAACACACTTACACAGACTTAGCATTTTGCTATTGTTGATATATTTTTTTTACTGTTGCAGGGTTTTGGGGTTTTTTTCAGATCAGGTTTTGCCACCTGAAAAGGTTGAGAAACACCACTGTAGTGCATAGGGTACAGATCTGGTATCTATAAGACCTCTGTTCTTTTCCTAGCTTTGCCACTGCTCTGCTGTGTGACCTTGGACAAGTCACTTTTCTCTCTCTCTCTCTTTAATCTCCCACACGTTGTTTAGAATCTTTAGATCCCCTTTCTGCTAAGATTTATGCAAGTATTTAGTTTTTAAAATGTGGGTAATCCCATTGACTTCAATGGGCTATTCACAGCACAAAAAATTAAGCATATGCATAAATATCTGCACGATCAGGGCATTAGGCTGTACTCTCTTTGTGGCAGCGACGGTCTCTCATGGGTTTGTACAGCACCTAGCACACTGGGGCTGGGATTTCTGTTGGGGCCTTTAGGCATTACTCTCATAGGAATAGTAAATAATAAATTTAGACAGAACATCTTGTTTTTTAACAATCAGAATGTAAAGATATATACGTACAAACTCTAGTCATAACTGATTTTGAGCTCATAATTTCATAATGAACTTAGCTCAGGGAGAAAATGTACATTTTGATTAAATGAAGCCAGAAGCATATCCACTGGTTTATTTTATTTTTGTTATAGTACTTCACTACTAGTGCTGCTTCTATTTTATTCTGCTTCCTCATGAAGTGTTATTCCTCTACTGTGTTTTCTGCATGAAACTGAGGGCTGATGACTAAGGGCAAAGAAATGTGGAGGAGCAATAACTGTTCCATGATTTGTTTGCATCCATTAATTTAATAATCATTAAAAGAGGTTGAATTCATTGTGTGTAGTGGCAAAGTGGGGGATAAATCATCAGTAATACCCCACCACTCCTAGGAACGCCCAGACTTGTTTCTTGCGACTTGGTCGGGGGCAGTTTTGGATGGCCTTTAACTTGTTCACTTGGTTTTACTAGACCTTTTCCCCACAATGTAGCCAAGATATTTGGCCTCCGTAAACCCTACAGCACACTTGGCAGGGTTTGCTGTAAGGCCAGCTCGCCTGAAGGTATTGAGGACTGCCTCCACCTTCTCCAGGTGGGTTTCCCAGTCTGGGGTATGAATGACCACATCGTCCAAGTAGGCAGCAGCATAACTGTTATGCGGGCGTAAGAGCTTGTCCATGAGATGCTGGAAGATAGCTGGGGCCCCATGTAGTCCAAAAGGGAGGACAGAATATTGAAAAAGACCCTCTGGTGTAGAGAACTCAGTCTTTTCCTTTGTGTCTTCTGCAAGGGGAATCTGCCAGTACCCCTTTGTCAAGTCTAGGGTAGTCAAGTACCGGGCATTTCCCAGACGGTCCACTAGCTCATCTATGCGAGGTATGAGGTACGCGTCAAACTGGGATACTTCGTTTAGTCTCCGGAAGTTGTTGCAAAATCTTGTGGTGCCATCAGGTTTGGGCACCAACACGATTGGGCTGGACCACTGACTGTGAGATTCTTCGATGATCCTCAACTCCAGCATTTTTTTTACTTCTGCTTTTATTTCCTTCCTTTTTGCCGCTGGCACCCAATAGGGTCTCATTGTTACTCTGGCCCCAGGGTTCGTGACGATGTGGTGATATGTCTCGGTTGTTTGACCCGCTTTTGTCGAGAACACATCTTGGTTCCGGAAGATCATCTCAGGCTTGGTCTACACTACCCCCCTAATTCGAACTAAAGTACGCAACTTCAGCTACGTGAATAACGTAGCTGAA